TTTTATCAAAATGCTGTGAATAGAATAGAATAGAATAGAATAGAATAGGGCAAGGGCAAGGGCAAGGGCAAGGGCAAGGGCAAGGGCAAGGGCAAGGGCCAGGACCAGGGCCAGGACCAAGATCAGGACTAGGATAATTGAAGCTTGCTGCAGGGCAACCTAAGAGAAGATTAAAGGCACAGTCTTTGTATTTTTGTTCGATTATTTCTTTGTTTTGTTGTTTTGTGGTTATTTTATAGTCATTGGTTTTACTGTTGTTATGAGCCATCCTGAGCTGTTTAAGATGGGTGACCATATCAACATTTTAAAATAAAAATAAAAATACATGAAAAAGTTGCATTCCAGCATTCCTCAGTATAGTGTATTGCTTACCTTATTTAGAGCTATTTTCTGTTTCTCTGTAAAATTTCCATCATTGTGTTTGAACTCCTTCAGAATTATTATCTAGAAAATGAGAGCAATTGGAAGAAAACCATAGCAAAGTCATAACATCCTATCTCTATTGTCTATAATGTCTAGAGAAATAGTTTATAACAATGATTAAATAGCAAATACATCAAATTTTATAGACAAATTGATATTTACACTAATCAATAACAAGCCAATGATTTTTAAATTTTTAAACCTGCAGTCTACTTTGTTCATTATTTAGGACTGAGAAGTTGCAAAGGAATCATTTAAGAAAATTTTCCATAAAATTTTAAAGCATTCAACTTTACAATGAACTGGGAATTTCATGAGCAGCATCATGAAATCTGTCTTGCACAAGAACATCAGATCATTTTTTAGGGAAGTCAAGTAGAACAGAGAGACTGGGAGTAAGAATACCTTCTTATCATATTTGCCTTGACGCAGCCTTTGAACAGTATTCCGCCTTTTGTCTTCATCAATCTGAGAAACAAGAGGACACCTTCAGAATTCTTCAGTAAGGTCCCTATCCTAATGTGTAACTAAAATGCAATGCCCAGCTGCTGGAAAGTTGTCAGGGGAACGGATTCAAAAATGCTTCCCATAACTTGAATATTATTTTGATATTTTGTGCATCAAGCGATATCATGCAATTTCTCCTTTATTTCTCATTCTTGTCTCAAGATGGTCGTCTTGTTTTTGTGGAAGAATATAGATTGCATTGCACTTGTGTCAGAAGCACCAATGTGTTTCCAGGTCAAAAGGATTAGCCAGTGACATCATCATTGCTCAGGGATGCCCAGCTGGCAGTGGTGTATTAACCATTAAGCAGACTAAGCACATGCTTGGGGCACCAGGCCCAAGGCGGTACCACAAAGTTGAGAAAGAAAAACCAATGAAGATTTGTACAGTATGTACAAAGGGCGGGGCACCAAGATTTGTCAGTGCTTAGGGCACCAGTGAGCCTTAATCCGCCACAGCTGGGGGCTCTTTTTATGTCCCCAACAGAAGCTGGAGCAAAGGTGAAGAGCTCACCCATCCTCCAAAGCAGCACTTGAATCTCAAACGTGGGCTTGTTAATCTCCAACCAGGGTCCTGACCTAACCACATGAGCTGATGTGCTCCTTAGAAGAATATAGATGACAACACTTAATGCCTAAACAAAATAAAAGTTATACCAATTGGTAGTCTGATTCCTAAGGGGAACACTATTGTGTAAAGCATAGGAAGCTAATAGATAATCTTAGTGCAGTGTTTCCCAAACTTTTGACATATGTGTACCCCTTCTATAATTTTCGNGTGTGTGAGGTAATTTAAGGTGGTTCTGACAAGTGTCGTCGGCATCTTCATATCTGGTCACATGGGTGGCAAGCCACTCCCACAAAGGAGGCCACACCCACAGAGTAGGTTCAAACAATTTTTGAAACCCACCACTGGATAGGCCCCAATATTCAAGTCTGTCAAAATCCTTTTGTATCTTGAATCTAGGTTCTAAAGTGTTGGCTACTACTCCCAACTTGATGTCATCTGCAAATTTAATGAGTATCCCCTCTATCCTCTTATCTAAATCATTCATGAAGATGTTGAAGAGTACTGGACTTAATACAGAACCTTGAGGTACCCCAAGTTAATTTCTCAATTTCTTACTTGGGTGAGAAGGCAGCACCATTTTGCCTAAAGCTGATTGTTGCTGCCCGTAGACACTTAACTATATTTCTAGTCAAGGATGGGACTTACTAGTTAGTGATCATTTCACCTCAGCCTGCACCCCTATTTATGATCTGTATACTAGGTAGATTGATGGGTGAGCTAAATCATCTGCATTTGCTTGTCTCTGCCACACCACATCTTTAGTACTGTAATTGGTAGTTACTTTCTCTGGCAGCAAGTAACCCTCAGTGGATGAGGAAATAAAGGCAGGGGAAGCCATCAATCATTTTACTTAAATTCTCCGGGATTAAAACAGGACAGCATCACTTGCCAATCTCATTACTCAAACAGAAAAGCAATTGTCAGTGAAAGCAGCACAGGTTTTGCCAGCCTGTTTCTCTGCCAAATCACACTTTGGAGCAGTGTTTCCCCAACCTTAGCCATTTTAAGATGTGTGAACATCAACTCTCAGAATACCCCAGCCAGCATTGGGAGTAAAAGTGCATATTCTTGGAATTGAAGTCTGCACATCTTAAAACAGCTAAGATTTGGGAACATTGCTCTAGATCAGGGATGTCAAACTCACGTCGTCATGGCAGCATCACATCACATATCGGGATTTCCCCCCCTTGCTTAACCGGGTGTTGGCGTGACCAGCACATGACACATCTGGGCCGCAGGCCACACATTTGACAGCCCTGCTCTAGATGAAAGCACTGTAAAATTGGTTGTATCCTAAATGTGGACAAGTCAGTAAGTTTTTTGAATGAAAAACCAGATAATCGTCTTTTAAATATTTTAATGTTTTAAAAATTACGCTCAGTCAGGGTGAACAAAGATATGCAGCTAGCAGATTCCTTGCTTACAGGAAAAACCAGCCATTCTACAGAGTCAGCCATCTGACAATTCTCCATTGCCATTAAAAAAGAAGAAGTTCTGAACTTCTGTCATAAAAAAACCCTGGTTAAGAAAGATAAAAGAAGAATGTTCCTGTATACATATGAATAATTCAAGAAGAGAAATAATAAATATGTTATGTATCTAAATGGGAATTAAAACTGGGACACAATACTTCAATTTACATTTATATTTGTTTCCTTACACATCCTTTTTTCTGGCAATATACATTTTCTGGGATGATTACCTAATATAAATTACACTCTCCACCCACCTTCATTGACACTGAGGGAGGAAGTAGAATGTATGAATTTTGTCTTTTTGATTGCGTGTTAAGGACTCTTAAGCACTATTCTTTGATCAGCTGAGAGATAAACAATAAAACAATTTACTTCTATCTATAGTCTGTGCTGGACTAAGAGAAGGTCCTGCCTCAGTTTTCATACATACATTTTGAGCACTCTTGATGAAATCTCTGATTCTGAGAGAGTTCCACCTACTCCTCAGTCATCAGAAATGTACAGTACACCTGAATGGCATTGGGCATCTTCCTTGTTAATCCTTATTAAGGATTAACAAGCCCTGCTTGTTTCAAATCATTGCATTTACCTGACTTACTTCCAGGGCAATAGGTGATATAGCCCAAAAGATTTTATATACTTTCTAGGTAGAGAATATTAGAAGAAAGGGAATATATTTTCTTAACATAGCTAAGGACTACTTAAATGTGTCTGTCTCAGAGTGTGAAGGAATTGAAAACAATAGAAAAGAGATCTTGCCAGGACATGTTTGCACAGTGATTAGTTGCAGGTGGGGAAAGGCCATTTGTAACCCAGGAGGAGTGCAATCTGAATTATCACAAAACAGGTTGAATACCAGTTTAACTGCAGGCACACAATACATGCAGCAAATGAAGGTTGAGGAACTATTTTGTGTTTGTCATGATGGTATTGGATGATATTATTTCTGATTCCAACAAATGTGTGGGACAATTAAACTATTGAGAGATTTTGCTAAAGATAATCCCTACTGGAAAAAAGTCAAAATTGTCATGGTCTGAGTTGACATCCAGACATTTGTCTGGCCTCTTCTTTGCCTCCTGTCCAAACAAGGATGGAAGATTTGTCTCACTGGGCTCTTCCTCGTGGCTGTGTTAATTTTTCCCCCTTCTTTCTTTGAAGTGACCTTCATTGCTGAGGTCATTGCAGTAATAAGAGCCAGTCTGGTATAGTGATTAAGGAACCAGCCTAGAAGCTGGTAGATCATGAGTTGTAGCTGCACCCTAGGCAACAAGCCAGTTGGGTGACTTTAGCCTTCTCTCACCCCTAGGAAGCAGGCAACTTCAAGGCACTTCCAAGAAATCTTGCAAAACTGCAATGACTAACCCAGGCAGTTGCCAGAAGTCAAAAACTGACTTGAAGGTGAGTATGTACACACACACACACACACACACTCCAAGACAAAAGAGTAGTACAGAATGTACTCTGGGAGAACTTAAGGGAAGTGGTTGTGGATTGTTTGGCTTTATTTCCATTCCCAACATCAGTCAACATCTGACAGGAAAACATCTATCAATTGCTCGCCATTACACAGATTGGGCCTGGAACCTCTGGAGGACGCAATAATGTGATACGATATGAACATGTGAACATGATGATCTCATCTGGCTTTTGGGACCCATAATCTGCGAAAAAGAACTTAATTCTATCGGGCTACCATTTCCATTTTTAAAATTCTTCCCATGGGGCTGGTTTTTGATTATTGAAAGTACTGATCTGTGAATTTGTAGAGATTCCAGAAGACACCATGCTCACCTGGGAATGATTAGGTCAAGTAGTCAACAGACAGCATCTCTCTCTCTCTCTCTCTCTCTCTCTCTCTCTCTCTCTCTCTCTCTCTCTC